TTTGGAGATAGGATCGATGTGCGAAACATCATACAAGAAATGGTGAGCAGTGAGAAGAAGTGGCAGAAGATACACAATTTTATAAGGAGAATAATGATAGAAAAAGAGAAGGAAGAACGGCTATTCCGTAGGTGATGGATGATCGGAGAATATAAATCTGCCTGTACTGATGTTATACCCACAAGGTAGTCCCAGTGCAAGGCAAAGGAGTCACTGAGGTGTGGTTTGGTGGGTAGGCAGAGACCTGCACTTTCGAGCTCTGAGTCCCACACTCCCTGTCGCGATGGAACCCAAGTGCAGGGAAAGAACATGAGTTTCCACACCTCAAAAAAAAAAAAAAAAGATAGATAGATAGATAGAAAGATAGATAGATAGATAGATAGATAGATAGATAGATAGATAGATAGATAGATAGATAGATAGATAGATAGATAGATAGAACATTGGTGTTCGACAGGGATTGGTGCTGGGCCCAACTCTGTGAAAAATTTCATATGATGACCTGCTAAAATCGAAATCACCAGAACAAGCCACAATGATAGGCTTTGCAGACGACGTAGATATATTTGAAGCTGCAAAGGGAGGACAGGTTCTCATCAACACAGTGAATACGGCTTTGCGACTAGCTGCAAATTAGATGCAGAGGAAACAACTTCAACTGGCGCCAGAAAAAGACGGAAGTCGCCCTTCTCACAACGAAAAGAAAGATAGATTAGATATAATTCAATATGCAAGGTACATTATTCGAACCAAAAAAGCAAATCAGTATCTAGGAGTAGAAAACTAAAACTGATCTAGCATGTATCATGCCCAACATATAAGGTCCTAGAGCATCGAAGCGGAGGATAATGGCAAGCGTAGCTCACTCGCAGATACTGTATGTGGCACCAGTAGGACACACCGGCATAGAAAATAAAAAGTTGACACAAAGATTATAAAGAGTACTAAGAATCATATCGATAAGAATATGCAGTGCATATGGAACAGCCTCAACAGAAGCAGTGGCAGTAATAACAGGAAACCCTCCCATGAACCTGCAGATAAATGAAAGGTACGAAAGATACAACGAAGTACTAAAGAACACCGCCAGGGCAAATCTGATGACGAGCTGGCAGGAGGAATGGAGAAACGGGATATATGGACGCTAGACTCATAGACTGATACCCAACATACAGGTATGCTTTTGGGTGTATGATAAATTGACATACATTATACAAGGCGTGGAAAGAAATTCTGAATAGAGAATCTATCACGAATCTGCGATTAGAGGTCTATAAAAATCACAAATTTCTATCGTTCAAGTTTGAACCCTCTGATTGGGTATGAGAGTGTTGAGAAGAAATATTCTCAGATGAATTATGGACATACAAAAATGGATATATATTCATATGAAGCAATACATTGAGAATTCGCATTCTCTATGTGATGAGAATATCTACTCTCTTCTAGTTTATTCAATAGAAAACAACTACTTTCCTGGCTATATGCCATGACGAACATTCTGAAAGTAGTTGTTTGCTGTTGAATATTCAGAATGATGTGTGCATATTCATATCTTTGTCTGGAGGAGAATGCAAATTCTCAATTTCAGAAGTTTTTCATATTTTGTGAATCGTTTATCGTGTGTTCAATAGATATAATTCAATGTTCGTCGTGGCATATAGCCAGGAAAGTAGTTGTTTTCAATTGAATAAACTGAAAAAGAGTAGAAATTCTCATCACATAGAGAATGCGAATTCTCAATATATTGCTTCATATTAATATATATCCATTTTGGTATGTCCATGATTTATCTGAGAATATTCCTTTTCGATTCAGGTATGGATGGACAGGCCATACGAAGAGAGGAATTATCATCTCACACAAGCACTAACGAGACATGGGTGCTTCAAAAAATACTCACATCAACGAAACATAGGATGCATATATTGTGATGGAGTCGATGACGCTGAGCACACACTTTTCGTATGCTTCAAATGGGCAGATGCAAGGGCCGAATACCTAGAAATAACAGGAAGGACGTTCAATGTGAGAAACATGATGGAAAGCCTAACAACGTCGGGAGAAACATAGAATCAGGCATATAGCACTGTGCGATATATGGTTGAGTGTATAGAAAAGGAAAGTAGGATACCGAACTGATTGGAGAAAAAAGAGAGGTCAAGGAAAATACAGCCCTTACAATGAAGTAATGCGTGAGCGAATACCAGTGATAGGAGCAGGAAGAGTAGGAGGGGTTTTAGTCGGTAGGAACTCGACACTCCCGGACTTCCAAACAGGGGTATTATGAAAGATTTTTCCTCCTACCGTGGACAAAAAATAGATAGATACACCCTGAGTGTGGTATGGGCGCACTGCCATACTTAACTCCTGATTTCGACCCTACTTGAGAAAACAGTATGATAGATCAATCACCCAATTCACGAGAGGAATTGGACAAAACTATAAATGAGACACAACTGAAACCATCAGCTAGGTTGCATTTCTTACGAAGGACTTCACATAGAGAAAGGACTTCTTTTCTCTCAGGGAGAAAAAAAGGAGGTGGAAGAGGGCATCGTGAACTTCTGTAGTAAGAGATGCTGGATATAAACAAACCAAGCAAGTAGAAGGGGGCCGAACTGTGGAACGAACATGATGTAATGACGATTGAAGGAGATAACTTAAGCAACACGCTAGGACAGATGATAAAATGAATGAAAAACTCCAAATTTTCAACTTCAGAAGATATTATTTTCAAACTATTATTGTGTGTTCCGTATTAAGAATTCAATGTTCATCGTGGCATATAGCCAGGAAAGTAGTTATTACCTTCTGACCATTCCACCTTGTTCTCGAGAACCAATCAGAATCGATCATTGTCACGGTTTCTTCTGTATCACAACGACATTTTTCGTTTACAAAAAATTGTTGGCTCTACCAATTCGCAAGCAAGATTAACCCACACGTGACCGATCAAATCTTTTTTCACCAATCGAATATTTGGAATTTCAAACGTCAATTTTGAGAGCCAGAATGATGCATACAGTGTGCGCTCATCTCACGGGACACTCGTTTATTGTCTCAGCCATGAAATAGTTATACGAATTCAACTCGTGATACTATTCTTCCTGAAAAAAACCGTCGATTAGCATACTCCAGCTACTTCAAAATATTTGATGGAAGTGATTCCAGATATGCTTCGAAGATCTTCAGAGAAATCGCTACCAGAAAAGTTCACAATTATTTCTTCGAATTTTCTTGCAATACACAGAAGATATTAAATGTCTATATGAAAATGTTCATCACGAACTATCAAAATCAGCCTTCGATCCGAGATGATTGTTTCACAAAACCTGACAATAGTTTCGATAATCATTTCACCCATTTTGGTTCACAACCTAATGACGATTTTAGGGGCTGATGATGAACATGCTTCGCAATCTTTTGAACCAAAGAGCATTATCGGACAGATTATTTTTAGAGTTTTTCATTCGATGAGGTTAGGAAACATGTTTTTCGAATGATTATTGATGAGTGTATTTACCGTATTTGATCCAAGAAAAACAGCATATTGCCTGTTGTTTGCTCTCAGAGCAGCTGCCGCCCCTTCCAGATCTGTAGAGGAGTATTTGATACCTTGGAAAGTCGGTAGTTCTGAAGCGGCTTCATTCAATAACGTAGCCATATCCACTGAAATGAAGCCATAAGCCGTGTGAATTATTTTGATCAGTCGATGTTGATAACATGATGAATGATTAATATATGGTGATTTTCTGAATACTGCACATCATCTCATTGCAATCTCGATATAAAATTGTAAGAAGTTTCCATCATCACTGCATGAATCGTACTAAAATGACAGCTCATGAATAGTGGAACGTTTTTGACAATGATATCGGAAGGTTTTGGCCAATAAAGTCATCATTGTCAAAAATGTTTCAGTATTCATGAGCTGTCATTTTAGTACGATTCATTCAGTGATGATGAAAACTTCTTACAATTTTATATCGAGATTGCAATGAGATGATGTGCAGTATTCAGAAAATCACCATATTATAATCATTTATCATGTTATCAACATCGACTATATTCACTTTGTATGAAAATGGTATGAAATTTATTTTAGATTGCAGACAATCACATTGTCATTAGGAACAGAATGAAGATTGCTCATTTGAATAGTAGATCCATATTTACAGGTTTCCAGAATTTCAAGGAAATTGTTTCGGAAAATGATATTGATATTATGTTACTGTCTGAGACATGGTTGGGCCCACATGATCAGTCTGTTGTGGTTAATATTCCTGGGTATACATTATTTCGTAAGGACAGAGTTGGTAGAGGTGGGGGAGTTGGAGCATATGTTAAGGCATCAGTGATTTGTGAAATTATCCACATTGACATGGTTATGAGAAGTTATATTGAATATCTTTTGCTAAAAATGAGGAACAGGCACCAGAATTTTATTGTTGGAGTTTTTTATAGACCACCCACTGCTGTAATGGAAGATGTAATAGAGGATATTGATAATCTACTTGCTTTAACTTATCATACTGTCGATTGGATGACTTGTTTAGGAGATTTCAATGTGAATTTTTTCAATTTAAATAATCCCTTAATGCACAGCTTCGAATCTTTTGGCTTCTCACAAATGTTGAATGTTGCAACGAGAACCACAAACACGACTAGTACATTACTGGATCTCACATTTGTTTCGACCACTGATATAGTGAAAAAATTCGGTACTTCGCCTGTTCATGGAATATCAGACCATGCTTTAACATTTTTAGATATTGACATACCTATCCTCCATAATGAAACCAAGCTCATAACATATAGATGCTTTTGACACTTCAATATCAATAATTTCTTGAATGACCTACGGAAACTTCCGTGGGACATCATCATAGCAGAAAATAATCTCGATAAAAAAATTGATATATTTGACGAATTCATTCTCCTCGTATTTAATAATAATGCTCCCATTGTCCAAAGAAACTCTACAAAGCCACCAGCACCGTGGCTGACTGAAAATTTGATAATCTTGAAGAAAGAGAGAGACAAAGCTTTGCAGGAATACAAAAGAACTAAGCAAGACAATGACTTCAACAGATATAAGGAATTGAGAAATCACACACTCGCGGTAACCAGGAGTGAGAAAAAGGCTTATCTCAATCAGGTATTTCAAATGAAGAATTCGAGAACTTCTTGGAAAGCTTTAAAAAACATGGGAGTTTGTTCGAACTCTAAAAATATAATTCCAGATAACTTATCGAATCCCAATGCTGTGAACAATTATTTTGCCAAATATCAGCAAAATGTAATTGATAAATGTGACGAGAAAATTAATTTCTATATCAACTCAGTTCACGATCCTCCTATGCAATTTTCATTTAGATTAATAACTGTTGAAGAAGTGAATAAAATTTTGCATAGCATCAAAACAAATGCTTTTGGAGTTGATAATATGGAAAAGTTCTGTTGGAAAACCTATACCTAAAAGAAGTCATCCGAAGGAATTTACGGATCTTAGAATTAAAAGTTTGCTCCCTACCCTATCCAAAGTGTTTGAAAAATTTTTGTATGCACAAATTTATGAATATTTCACTTTCAATAACTCACTTCCTGATTGTCAGTGCGGTTTCAGACCAGGCAGAAATACTGAAACATCTTTGGCGACTGTTACAACTGATATATTGAAGGCTTTTGATGAAGGTTCATCTAGTGCTCTTGTACTAATCGATTTTTCAAAAGCTTTCGATACTATTAATCATGAGCTGCTTTGTGCAAAATTGAAATTTTATGGCTTCGATGAATCATCCGTGTTTCTGATATGGAAATACTTTTTGCGTCGTTCTCAAAGAATATCTGTGAATGGGTTATACTCTTCCAAACTGGATATACTCTCAGGGGTTCCGCAAGGCTCCATACTGGGTCCGTTGCTATTCATTATATACACTACCGATATTTTGAATAACATTAAAAATTGTAAAGTACAAGCTTTTGCAGATGAGACACAATTGTACCTTAACTTTAGCACTGAGAATTTGTTTAATGCCGGGAAAATTATAAATGATGAATTGAAAAATATCAAGACTTCCTCTGATGAACACAATTTGAAACTCAATTCTGAAGAATCGAGAGTATTACTCTTCGGCAATAAAAATAACAGGAATATTGTAAGAAATAATATGACAGTTCAAATTGACGATTCACCATTACTAGTATGTGATTCAGCCAGTAACGTTAGATTAGTGATCGATGTGGATATGCGTTTCTCTCTTCATTTCAAGAGTAACATAAGCAAAGCTTTCGCATCTTTGAAACTCATATATAGTGCCCGCCATTTTCCTGAGTGTTGAGATGAAGCGAACTTTATGTGAGTCATTGGTTCTCAGCCACTTCAACAATTGTGATTTTATCTATGGTCCACGCTTAACTAGGGTAGACAAGGAAAAGATTCAGAAAGTGCAAATTAGCTGCTGTAGACTAATTTATGCAAAAAGAAAATATGCCCATATTTCTCATAAATTTCAAGAATGTAACTGGCTCAACATGAAAAACAGAAGACAGCTCCATTTAGGTACATTCACATATAAACTCCTCAATGATCCTGAACCACCGGCCCTGGTGCGAAATTTCATTCTCAGATCCAGGATACATTCAAAAAATATCAGGAAAACGTCCACTCTGACCATGCCTCAACACAGAACTGCAATGTTCCAAAAGTCATTCGTATGTAATGCTATTCAAATGTACAATCAATTGCCAGATGAATTCAAAGAATACAATATGAATGAATTCAAATATAAATCAAAAATTCATTTACTTGAAACACAGCGCAATCATTCTTAACCGCCTCTGTATACTACAGCGAGATTGTTCTACCTAGCATCAAGCATTCATTGTACTCATCCCCGTTTAGTGATATTAATTATATAAATGTACACTCTTTCATTCGTTCATAAATTGTTCTAATTCTATAAATTTCAATAATCCTATATTTTTGGTCTGACCAACATTATACCGAAATAGTTAGTAGTGAATACTGTAAGACATACCACTGTTGTTTTTTTCTTTCATGTATATGGGAATTATTTCTCTTGAGCATTGGCCCCCTGTTGGTTGAGTAGAATAGCTTTAAGCTAGACTTCGCCAGCAGTTTACTATAAATTATTAATTTTTATATTGCAATTGAAAATAAAAGGCGTTTATTATTATTATTATTATTATTATTATAATAGAAAGTAGGATAAACCTACGAATAATTATTCCATTTACTGCATTTCCGTTCCTGCATTTCCAGTTGGTATAGACCGTTACATACAACTTCCTGAACACACACCGTTGATGAGTAATACGCTTAGTCTCACACAATGCTCTTCAGCGCTGGGATTCATCGTCTGAGATATTAGACTATGATGAAGGTACTTATACAACATTTGTGGTCCGCCATCGATATCACAAGTTCTTGCTTCGTACTCAGTATCCATCTTCCAATGTGTCATTATGAAATATAATATTTGCTGATATGGGAAACTGTAATCATAAAATAATAGGAGTTGAAGAATCATCAGTATCGGTACATTTCGCCTTCATTTTCGAACAAAATTATCAAATGAGACAAACTCACGATCGAACATTTATGAATTCCCAGAAAGTACTCTAGGTCGTAGTTTCTCGTGTGGGCCGATTCATATGGATGATCACATTACCGTTGATTTTTGAGATCTCGTACACTTCAATCCACTATTCACAATTGTATTTTTCCTCTGCTCCTTATTTTGATTGATTGATTGGGCGATTCTTGACGTCGAAGTAGGTCACTTATAATCTGTTGTAAGGTTGGGCAGGTTCATGATGTAGAAGAAGATCGGGTATAATTTGCGATGTTTACTCCGATTCAGTCAGTTCACGAGGTACTGAAGCAGTCGGTTGGGTGTGATAGTTTCATATTCCCAGAGAGACAACAAGAATATAAAGCGAAACAATGTATCATTATATTAACTGCTGTGAAGTGAACTCACGTACTGATACTTCACGGAGACATGAAAGAAGATCAGGTTATTCAGCTGGTACGATTTCAGTTGATAAAAAAGAGTCGGATACTAGTGCTTAGATATACTGGAAGGAATTTATGTAGGACGTCAGTCGGTGGAAATCTAGTGAAACGAAAGATTCTGAATACTTCTGCTTCCACACCGACGACAATGAGAACTTGTGGAACCTGCAATGAATCAATACCTGCAGATGAAATGAATGCTCATCATAAAAGATTACTGGAGCAGAACACCAAGTCCAGTGTGCAGCATTCAGATAATGTTCCACTGATACATAACGCTGCGGAATATGAAATAGTCAGCTATAGATTCGAGTCTTTCAGCACGAAACAAAATTACAAGTTTTGGTGAAGCAGCTCTCGCGATGAATCAGACATGATTCCTAGATGAAAGAGTTTTGCTGATGAAAATACCAATCATAGATAAAGTAGACTTGGAGATTGGAAATGATGGTACTAGACATTATTATATCATGCATACTGTATATCGCCTTCCTAGCAAAAACTCTCCAAAATTACAGCCCGAGGAACCAACAATTCGTCAGGCTGTTATTTTGACTATATCTTCATTGATAGCGTTTGCTTGCTCCTATTGTGAGTATTTAGTTTCCTGAAAAGAAATAGAGATGATGGAATAAAACGCAGAATATAGAGAACTATCATCTGCAAGGCTGTGGATATAGTGAGTGGTTGTTCTCAAGAGATTTGAAGTAGAAACACTGACAGTACCGAAATTGATCCTTGTGGAACGCCGTAATTGATGGCAATGGTATCAGACAATACTTCGTTTACCATCACATGAAGCGATCTGCCTGAATGGAAATTCGATTAGAAGTGTGTACATTGGAATCGGTATGGAATGGTTGTGCTCAATTATATCAAGAGTCAGGAACTCATTTGGTATAATGGGGAGGGACAACAAGAATATTTGGTCCATTGCTAGCAATTGAATTCGAACCATATTAATTCAAACTCAATCTGTTCCAAAGTTTAGTCTTGATAACATGAGAGATTCGTTCGAGCATAGATGCAGATACCTTCATCGAACCTGGACAGTATGTGAAGCTTGTACTCAGGACTGATGATATAGATCGTGTCGAACGATAAATCGACCTGTATCTCAGTTTGGGCAAACATGTGTGACTTTTCAATTCGGAGGAGTTTTGAAGAATGATTTGTGCTTAGTACCTTCAAGCCATCCGACGTTTTATTGTCATATTTGGTGGGAAGTATACGTAACATATTTCCCACTCATGTTGATCAAACGTTTCTGACTACTACTCTCTGGTACGACAATAGCAAGTGCTTGGTATATTCCTCTAGAATTTCACGTCATTGGCGGAATCTCAATTCTATCACAATATTCCGATTCTTCAACAAGTGTTACAAATATTTTGTATTCTCTCTCCTTGACGATAAAGTCATTATTTTTCAACTCAAACATGAAGCTGCACAATTATTTTGAATTTGATGTGTATAAATTATGTTGATAATTCAGATCAATTTCAAATTATTGAGATATCTCGAACAATGAAAACTTTATCGCTATGATCAACAAGTATAATCTCTACTTAGGAATTCTTGTAGAATCAAAAAATTGTGATAGAATTGCATATCCGCCAGTGATGTAGAATTTGCGAAGAATCACCAGACACTTGCCTTCATACAACATAATCCAGTACGATGTATGAAAGTCACACTCTTTCCAAATATGACAATAATACTTCGAGTAGTTATGAAATACTGGGCAACAATGATTTTTGAACTTCCAAATAAAACCAGACAGTAGACATTCTTCATCTAGAGTCACTGAATGATAATAGTTAACACCGATAAAATTATAAGATTTCATCACCTTCAACGGACAGTAGTTAAAACTAAGAGAGCACGACTACCAGCATAGGAAAATACATGCTTTAATCTTAACTGGAACGCGGCCAGTGTTCTAGCGGGGAAGCGGGGTAGCGGGAGCGCGATGGCGTGACATCATCAGTGACAGAGTGTTTGAGTTGAATAAAAATTGAAAATTATATATACAGGGTGTCCCATGGTTAGACCACCCCACTTTAGGGGTAAATATTGAAGGATTGGGGAGTGTGGGTACTCTGAGAGAAGGATTTTTTATGGACAATTCGGAAATGCCAATATACCTATATGCAAAGTCTCAAGGTTTACAAGATATCGCTCTAAATGCGATGGAAATATCATATGAAATAGTCTCTTTGGATATGACATAGTTGAGCTAGTTTCGATTTTTTTCCCAGCGTCAAAAGAAAATATGAATAAGTATTGAAGTTGGATATGACCAAATAACAGGAAATTAGTGATAAGAAGATATTACAATAGAATAACAAGTTTATCATTTGGAAGAAAAAACAAATTTTACAAGAAATGGAAAAAACAAGGCAAGAGCTAGTTTCGATTTTTTTTTCCCAGCGTTGAAATGGAATATGAATGAGTATTGAAGTTGAATTGAAACAAATAACAGGGAATTACTGATAAGAAGATATTATAATAGAAAAACAAGTTTATCATTTGAAAGAAAAAACAAATTTTACAAGAAATGAGAAAAAAACAATCTCTTATCAGAAGACAACATATTATGTGAGAAACATTATGTTTTCATTCTACCACCTTGATATATAACAGCGGAGCGCTCTGACAAAATTCAGTCAACGTTCGACATCCACATAAATCAACACCTAGCCACATCTAATAGCAATCTTGTGTAGTGCCAACTGCTGATACCTAATAAAAGTAAGTTTTTTTTTTCTTTATATTCACCTGGTAATGCAATTTCTTTAAGTAATTTTTTTGTTTAAATTTCTAAGAGCGAATAATATTGCATGATATGTTTTCTTTAATAATTATTTCATTGTTGGTGTACATATCATAATTCATTTCGATGTTTTCCATATTGAAAAGTGAATGTCATTGTGTGTTTTCATCGATTCATTTCTTCGTGTACACATCATAATTCACTCATTCTATTTCAAACATTTGAAATGAAGAGATTTTCACTGATGTTGTTTGATTTCTGATTTTTAGGTATCACATTACAGTTAGACAGCCACATAAAATCAACACCTAGTCACATCTGATAGCAATCTTGTGTAGTGCCAAAACTGCCGATATCTAAGAAAGTAAGTTTTTTTTTTCTTAATATTCACTAAAGCTTGATCCTGATGTTTGATGCAATTTCCGTAATTCACTTTTTTGGTTTTCATTTCTAAAAGCGAATACTATTGCTTGATATCTTCATTTTTTGTGTGTTCATTTCATAATTCATTACAATGTTTTTTCATATTGAAAAGTGAATGCCATTGCGCGTTTTCATCGATTCATTTTTTCGTGTACACATCATAATTCAACCATTTAAAATGAAAAGACCAGTTCCACAATCTTTTCTTTTTAGATGGATCTGAATGCAATCAATGATGTTGGGCTGTCATGCAACAGGAAAGTGTTGAGGAAACTGAGCCAACTGCCCCTAGATGTGCCACACCCCATTGTCGGAGTGCAAATTAAACTGGGAAAATACGGAGAAGCACCACTCGTTGAGTTGGACGATTGTAAGGTGTCTCTACCAGACTGAGCGACCCAAGCCATCAAACCTGCGGTGGAGCAGTTTATCCAAAACAAGTACGCCCTCATCTACAAGGGACGAAAAAACTGCGGCCAACTTCATCCCATCGAGCAGTTTGAAATTGTGGAAACAGCACCTCAATCACCAACATCATAAGCTATTGAGAATCAGAGTGTGAGTCATTTTACTTTGTCACTTTTCACAAGATACATTTGTAAAGATGAATATCGCTAAACAATCAGATAACTTAGTGATAGCCATTAGGAAACTAAAGAAAATTTTGTTTGATAATTTCACTGATAGGGATGAAAAAATTTGGTTAAATCGCTTAAAGAGGTACATAAGATTATGTGACAATGAAATTAATAAGAATAAGATGTCCATAGGCTTGATGAGAAAGTTTCAAACGAATGTTGGTCATTTTAAGCATTTTCGCAATTTAATTCGAAATAGACATCGAGACTGTAGAGGGCTTGAGTTGAAAAATAGGGTTCAATGGAGAGATGTGGCATCAGGTTTTTCAAGTAGAATCAGAACGGGAATAATCATCAATATAACACATAAGGACTTGGAGCAATTTTTTATAGATGCATTCATTTTATTCAAAAATAAAATCAAAAATATATTGAAGGGATTTCCAATTATTAAAGTGAACGCTAATTTCTGTGGAGAATTCATAAAGAAATCAGATGATGCAGAAATTATTGAATTGAAATATTTCAACACTAAAAATGCCATTGTGGACGTAGGAACGGATTTACAACATTGGTACTATGATAATGTTCAGGACAAAATTCTGAATAAATTAAGCGAATTTCAAGAACGTGACTCTGGGTGGGCTTTGCATAAAATAATATCAATGGAAGTTAATATTAACAAACTTGAAATGGGAAATGGTTCATCCTTTATTAGACTGCCAGAACAAATTTCTAAAAAGCAAGCATGTTTGAATATAAAAAATACTGACTCGGCATGTTTCTATTGGTCAATCATAAGTGCCTTCTACCCAGCGAAAACACATAGGGAACGGACTTCTTCATATCCATATTACACTACAGTTCTGAATTTAGATGCACCCATGTCTCTACGTCAAATTCCAAAATTTGAAAAAGACAATAACATTTCCGTGAATGTATACACATTAGAGTTGAATTTAGTCAAGGAAAAATCATATTATACTGTGGTGCCAGCCAGACTTACAAAAAATAAATCAGAAAGGCACGTTAATCTATTGCTAATTCAAAACAAATATTATCCAAAATTAAATGATTATGAGGCTCCTCCGATTGATGAAGAAGATTCTGACATCAAATACCATTACTGTTTGATTCAAGATATGTCTAGATTAATATCAAGCCAAGTGAATAAACATAATGGTGAAAAATTTATTTGTGAAAGATGCATGAATTATTTTCAATGTGAACAAAAATTGATTGATCATGAAATGCTGTGTTCTGAATTGAACCAATGCAAAGTTTCATTTCCAAAATATGATCACATAGAATTCAAAAATTCCACCTACCAACAAACCACCCCCTTTAAAATTCATGCAGACTTTGAATGTCAATTAGAACATGTGGATGATATGGTTTCATCAAAAACAAGCAAATATCAGAAACATGTGGCTCATAGTGCAGGCTATTATTTTGAATGTGATTTCGATGATTCCTTGACGTTTTTCAATAGCCATAGGGGTGAAGATTGTATGGATTGGTTTGCGAATGAAATGTCGAAGATAGCTGAAATCGTGCAATCTAAAATCAAAACAATCGTGCCAATGACTGTTAGTCCTGACAAATGCAAAGCAAAAATCTGTCATATTTGTGAGAAACCATTCAGGGAGAAAGACATTATCGTAGCTGATCATAATCACTTTTCAGGCGAGTTCAGGGGGTGGGCGCATCAAGCACCCTGTAACATAAATTTCAAGAAACTCTTTGTTGTTCCAATTGCATTTCACAACCTGATAGGATATGATTCACATTTCATGATCAGTCAATTGAGTAAAAAGGGCCGTATGAGCATACTTCCAATAAACATGGAAAAGTACATGTCTTTCACTTTACATGATGACAATACAGACATAAAATTCCGATTTATTGACTCTTTTCGCTTCATGGGTACATCCTTAGATAAATTATCTTCAATCATGGATAGAAAAGATTTTGAAATTTTGAAAAAAGAATTCAGTCATTTGAATGACGATACATTCAACCTCCTCACCAAAAGGGTGTCTTTCCCTACGATTACATTAGTTGTTTGGAAAAATTGAATGATACTGGATTACCTACAAAGAAATATTTTTATAATAAATTGAATGATGAACACATTAGCGATGAGCAGTACGCCCATGCTCAAAAGGTATGGTCATCATTCAAAATTCAAAATTTAGGGGAATATTCTGACTTAAAAACAGACGTTATGTTGTTGACCGCTGTTTTCGAGAAATTCCGGCAGAAATGTAGGACAACTTATGGGTTAGATCCAGCATGGTACTATACCATGCCTGGATATACATGGGATGCCATGTTAAAGTACACCAAATGCAAACTGGAATTATTGAATGACGTTGATAAAATCATGTTCATTGAGAAGGCATTACGTGGTGGTATTTCTGTTTGTAGTGGTAGGTATTCAGAAGCTAATAACAAGTATATGTCTGAATATGATTCCAATGAACCTTCAAAATATCTCATGTATTTAGATGTGAATAATTTGTACGGTTGGGCAATGTCAGAGTCTTTACCATTCGGAGATTTCTCATGGATGGAAAACGTTGAAAATTTCAACGTAATGAATATTGCTGATGATGCTCTTGAAGGATATATTTTACAAGTAGACTTAGAATATCCTCGCGACTTGCATAACAATCACAAAGACTTTCCATTTGCTGCTGAACATCGCATACCACCCGGCTCAAAATTACCAAAATTAATGACAACACTTTACGACAAAAAAGATTATATTTTACACTATAGAAATTTAAAACAATGTTTAGCAAACGGACTGAAACTGACGAAAATCCACAAAATTTTGAAATTCAGGCAATCTTTTTGGCTCAAATCATATATAGATCTGAATACTTCTTTGAGGACTGCCGCAACAAATGAATTTGAGACAAATCTCTATAAACTAATGAATAATGCAGTTTTCGGTAAGACGATGGAAAACATACGAAAGCATAGATTAGTGAAACTAGTAAGATCATGGCAGGGACGTTATGGAGCCAGAAATCTCATAGCTAGTCCACGATTCCGTGGTAGAACAATTTTTGAAGAAAACTTGATTGCCATAGAAATGCAGAAAACCGAAATAATTTTTAATAAACCTCTATACGTAGGAATGGCCATTTCAGATTTATCAAAATTGTGTATGTACAAATTTCACTATGAGTATATGATTCCGAAAATGGGTATTGAAAGGTGTAAATTGTTATATATGGATACAGACAGCTTCATATATGAATTGAAATGTGATGATGCATATGAAGAAGTTATAAAGGCTGATCTCTCTCAATTTGACACATCTGAATATGCTCCAGATAATAAATATAATACGCCACTAGTCAATAAAAAAAAGTTGGGTTTATTAAAAGATGAAGCAAATGGGAAAATCGTTACTAATTTCGTAGGACTACGTTCGAAAATGTATGCATATAAAGTACAAGGGGGTAAGGTTGTCAAAAAATCGAAAGGGGTGAAAACTAATGTTGTCAAGAATAAAATTGGGTTCGAAGATTATTTGAATTGTTTGGAGAATTTCGGAGCACAAACAGTGTCTCAACGTACTATACGTTCATATGCCCACAATGTGTTTAGCATTCAACAATCAAAAATTGCTCTGAGTCCCAAAGATGATAAACGGTATTTGATTCCAGGTTCGTCATACACAGGCAAAAGAGTAATTTTTTCATGTAAATCAACTCATCAAACATTCATAAAGAAAAAAAAAACCATACACCTACACTTACACTCCTCTGTTTTAGATTTAGAATTATTATTTGGGCTTAAAGAACGATATGAATGTGATATGGATTTACATGATTCACATTATCATTATGAGAGATTCATCGATTCTGGTGATGAACATACAGATATTGATTCTTGACTTACTTTAACAATATGTTACAGATTTTAGTAGCATGATATCATCTTTACAAATGTAGTTCGCGAAAGAAGACAATGAAAAATGACTTTTTTTTTCAGAATATGTTTTTTCTTATGAAAATGTAATACTTGTCCTGGCTATTAATGTAAATATAATATATGCTGTCTATCTATCATTAATAAAATAATTATTGAAATTTTCTGTGTATCATTGGGATGGGTAGTGAGTGTAAGAGAGAGTGAGAGGGTAAAAAAGTGAGAAGAAGAGAGAGAGAGAGAGAGAGAGAGAGAGAGAGAGAGAGAGAGAGAGAGAGAGAGAGAGAGAGAGAGAAAGAGAGAGAGAGAGAGATTGGATGGATATTAGTTGAAGGTATGGATGTAAAAAACAGTTGTATCATGTCTTCTGACGAATACAGACGTGCACTAGAAGAATTTGGGTTGAAAGTTAGAAAGCTCAGTGCAGACATCCAATTGTATGAGCAGAAAGTTTGTTTGTTCAAAGATTTCGAGCAATTGAGTGTTTGGGACAAGGTGTTCACAGAACCAAGACGTTCAGTTGCAACGTTTCCTACATCGAGAAGAATCCAACCAACACAGCTACTAGATGGCGATACTGAAAGCAAGCTTCATTCTATTGACAGCTCTGAGCAACAACGTCTTCTACACAAACATACCGTACAATACGAGGAATGCGGCCGTATGTTTTGATGTGAATCGTACACAACAGTGTGATTGGAAGCTGATGAGTAGAATGTATGTCAACGATAACAAACTACCTGTATATTCAATCGACATGCCTCGAGTCAATGGGACCACCATCGACTACAAATTGAAATTATCGTTTTCTGATGGCAGTGACGGCGAAATGGGAGACTGGCAGACATTTACATTGAAGAAATCACCCGCAAAATTAGATGATGATCAAGATTCTGTCAATATCATTGCAATTTTGACACTTTGTTGTACACTAATATGTTCACTCATTTTAATCTCGCATGTTATTTTCATTATACTGAGAAATAAGGGATGTGATGAATAAAAACTCTGAAATTACGATATATAGTTTTTTATTTTGGCAATAAATTACATAACCAATTATATAAAGTATCGACATTGTGGAGACTGCACTGGAACCTTCCTCCATGGAAATGATTCATGCAGGGTGGAATGGATTGTAGGAACGTTATTGGCTGCCACCAAGAATTGTCGAAATCTTCCAAATTAACAATGTGATTGGTCATCTCCAACTCTGCACATTTTCGTTGCAAAAACTGAATCTTTTGATGACCTCTTACGTAGATGATGTTTGTCTGCTGCAGATTATCTCGTAGTATTTGATCCAACTCATTCAAATCCACATAACCACTGGAATATCTCAAACCATGCACATAGCGTTCCAGGTGATTTGCCATCTTTTTATCTTCTTTGTTCAAACTGGAAAATTCTACAGATGGCTCGAATAGAAAATGACTCGTCTTTTTGCCAATGCGAATGGTCATTTCCTTTGGAATGAATTCACCATCAACCATGAACCCTTGAATGTCAACCAGTGCGATCTCCATGACTCTTCGAAGCAAACTGACGTCTGACTGATGCAGCAACACCCACCTAGGCAATATTTCGAACAATTTCGCTGAGTGGGAGATGTTCCATGATTTGATCGTGAATGATGATGCAATAGGCTTTGGTGTCGGGAGGGAAGCCTGTAGTCGCTTCAATGTCCAACTTTATGTCAACTGTGGACGACTTTAGACCCAGATGGCGCCTCGAGCAATCGATAACAAATATTGGTCGGGATTTGAATTCGGCAAAGTTTACTAGAGAGCGCTTTTCTTGACAGTTATGGTAGCTCTTGTTGAACTCTGTATAGTTGAAGTGGGCGTCGGCATATTGGTCTCGGGAAAAGTCCAATAGCATTCTTTCTTGCGGATAATAGTCGCTATTCAGAGCCAATCGTATGGATTTGATGTTGGCATTATCGAACAAGGTGACATCCTCATGCAAATTATCGGCTTTTTTCGTTTGGAAAAATACTATAACATATCTTGGACTGTCCAATGCAGAACATGTCTTTACGGACCAGATTTCTATGGTAGATCCTTGTGTGAGTGCTGGTAGCTCGTGCAATTCCCATCGGCGAAACGGTATCATCATAGACTCATCTGCTTTGATACGTGTCAACAACTGCAACTTTATGTCATCGTTGGGTGTGAGATGTGGCACTTTCAAATTGATGCTTTCTATCGTTATTTTAGCAATACTCTGAGTCTGAGGAGATCCTTGCAAAGCAGTATTCGCTCTCTCGACAACCTTCACACTATTGGCATCATTGCGAGCTCTCACTAAACGGATTGACTGCTTGCCCCACGTTGCCACTTGATGATCATTGAAGATGGAAAACAAATGTTTCAGTGGAATGTTCATGCTAAACGTACCATCGGTGTTGAGGATCGGAGCATTGGGATAGTTCCAGCCTGCTATGGCTAGATGACGTGAGTCTTCAGGTGTATAACACAAGTATCCTCGCACAGTACTCGTTATTCCAGGATATCTGACAGTGTCCAATTCTTTATTACATAATTCATAGGTGCAGGAATCAAAGAGATAAGCTCCAGCATTGTGGGTTAATGTACCAGTACCACCACCGGTCACCTTCAATTTACCCTTGTTGGTAATGATGCCTTCAAACATGGCCAACCACGAATCTGCTTGATTAACCGTTATATCGATGACATCATTGTTCTCGAATGATTTCACATATGGATAATAGGTACGCCATTCCACTTTAGTGATGCTTTCGTCGAGTCTGGGTTTGCGGAAAACGTCGAACACGGGTGCTAACAACATTGTAGTCTTTGAATGATTTCAGAAACAGGACACTGGATAATGTCAATGTTTTTCTGCTGCTGCTCTTCGAAGACACGACTGCTTTGGTGCACGGTGTCGGGAGAACTGGTGCCGATGATGTTGCTGATGATGGTATATTATCTGATTTATAGGAGTAATCAAACACTAGTACCATCTTGCGAGTTTTTTCAATTCCAATCTTATGATGATTTCTTCACCTCTAAAATTCACCTGCCTGAAATCTTGGTCTAGAATCTGGAGTGTAATGTTGGGCAATTCCCGCCTGCTGACTATAGGTAGATAGATTAGATTTCTGGGAGACTCATCTATGGCGTAACCAGGATCGACTGCAACTGCAAACTCGTAGATCGTATGTGATGGTCTGTCGTTGTAGAGAGCTCCAGCAGTAACGTTGCTATCAATGTGGATGGTTCTCACTTTGGTTATGCTGACCGGCAAATCGGAAGTGTGGACTTGTTGTGCGTTCAACAATCTATTCGAAAATCCCAAGACTTGAGCTATGCTATCCTTTGGACGAAAATCGATGGCAAACTGTTTGCTCGAAATCTCACACTTTAGTGTATTATTGTTGGGCTTCAACGAGAATATATCATCAACGTCCTTTGCACTTGAGATGCCCAATTCTTTGCGTATGAATGTCTCAATGTCCGCAATGTCGTATGAACCTTCGGGAATATCGATGATCTTTCCCGCCTTGGTCTTATCTTGCAGATAAAACTTTGATCCTTTGTCGATATTTGGTATAATGTTGTATGAATGGAATCCCAATAATGCTAGTCCGTAATCAGAGTCTGGATCGAGTTGAAGTGGTGTCAAAAAGTCTATGGAGAGCGTAGATGTACGACCTTTCAACGTCACAATCAGAGACATGACTGATGCACAATGATCGAGTTACTTGGTCTCATTAAAAAGGAATTCTAAACATAGACGTCCAAAATTACTTTGATTGAAATTTTGGTATTGATTGTTATTGTACCTACAAGATTTTCGTGCTGGCACCCAAATATTGCGCCAATTCTCTGGGCGGTTTCAGATTGCCATAACTATCGAAATATAAGGCTTTTTTATCATTTTTTATGTAAGCCACCCAATGAGTGCCCGCATGATTGGAGGTATCCAAATTCAATACAGCACACTCGCGATGCCATGGACCGGTGGAAGGCAGAGTGTCCCGCATAAAAACACCTCGAAAATTCGGTATTTTCAGCTGTTTGGCATACTTTATCACATCTTTATCGTACATTGATTCATTGGGTAGCTTGTCTAGAAGTTTTTTGAGTTTTTTGATTGTTTCTTCAAGTACAGTCCGAATCCTCTCGATGTTTTGCGTAGAAATAGGCCGGAACCCTGCTTGCCGATGGCCTCCATTGCTTTATTATGTCTTTGATCTTCTTCGAGCTTTTTCTTTGCATTTTTTGCATCAATGACTGTCTTTGCGACTGCTCCGGCTCCTCCAGCTAGAGATCCTAGGGCTCCCAAGGCGGCAAAGATTGGTATCAATGGTAGTATACCGCCACTGTGTGGAAGAGGTATGATTCTTGGTACTCTGATTTTTTTTTTACCGCCAGCCCTCTTGATTGCCATTCTGGCTGCACGGAGTGCTTTCAATGCAGATTTATTCAGACCACTTCCTGATGTTGTACTACCACCACCACCACCACCACCACCACCATCTGACTTTGATAGTACATTTTTTATGAATTTGATAATGTTGGATAGGGATTGCTGTGATACAAGACCCATACCAAGTTTTCGTTTGACCTTCATTCCGGTGGTGACAAGCCAAGCAGCAGCCTCTTTGAATTTAGCGTTCTTCGACTTGACTCTCTCCCACGCTCTATTTTCCAATATCCAATCAGCTTTGTGCCTGTCTTCTATTGAGGAATTTTGTGGATAGGCGATATCGTGTACTCGACACGCGTCGTCCAACGGATTGATACGGGTGTCTCCTCCTGCAAGTCTTTTATCGAGTTTGGTACCTGGAACACAAAATCTGTAGCCTGGAATGTGTAATTCGATGGGAAGTTTATCGATCAGAGAATTAAGCACACCCTCTCCGTGGTAGAGCAACATGAAGACTGACGTGTAGAAAGTTCGACAACTCTGCATATACCTAATGAAATGAAAAATATATCAACACATGATGAAGATCATTCAACAAGAACGGATGTTGCCCATTGTGAATTTGGATGAAATTTTGTCAACCAAACCCCCAGTAAATAGTAAACATGGGAAACTGCTTCCCCATTCGTTCAGAGCAATCTTCTGCGGACCAAGCGGATGTGGAAAGACCAATGCGATGCTTTCCCTGCTGTTCAATCCAAATGGTGCGAAATTCAAGAACGTTTACGTGTATTCAAAGTCGTTGTACCAACCGAAATATCAATTGCTGCAACAAGTGTTGGATTCAGTGAAAGGTGTTGGGTATTTTCCCTTTAAGGAAAATGATGATGTCATCAGTCCATCAGAAGCGGAAAATAATTCGATATTCATTTTTGATGATGTATCATGCGACAAGCAGCAAAAAATTCGAGAATATTTTTCAATGTGTAGACACAAGGATATTGACGTAGCATACCTATGCCAGACTTTTTCTAAGATACCGAAGCAGTTGGTGCGAGACAACAGTAACCTGTTGGTGTTATTTCGACAAGATGAAATGAATTTGAAGCATGTGTTCGACGAGCATGTCTCACCAGACATGTCATTCGATCAATTTAAAGCATTGTGCTCAGAGTGTTGGAATTCCAACCAATATGGTGCGATGGTGATTGCAAAAACTTTCGATATGAATGCTGGCAGATATAGAAATGGTTTCGATAAGTTCATAAGACTGTAATCTCTGGACCATTCATCAAGATGACGTCAACCAAGATGTATGATGATGTTGCTGATGCGCTGCGCAAGAAAAAAAATCAACGAACTATCGAAATCAATCAGAAGAAAATATTTAGCACTAAAATTGGGCAAGTCTGAGGATGATGATGCGTTACAGAAAATATTCCAACCACTGACATCACCTTTGAAACAAATTGCCACCACGTCCAAGGTAATAAAAGAAAAACTCGATGGAACGCTTTCAAACATCAAGCGAAGCAGAGCAAAGTCGTTGGGGTTGAAGAAGGAGAAGAAGGAGGAAGAGGATGGGGAGGTGGAGAGGGAGCAATCGGATTTGAACCAAACTAATTTCATACCTATGATGAATGTGGCTGATAATGTTGGGCATACTGAAGATGATGATGAGGATGGTTATGACGATGCTGATGATGAACTTTTTGTAGAAAGTGAAAATATCTCACCGGCTGCAATACATGATTACGTTGATCAGTATCCTGCGATGGCTCAAAAATATCTGACTGAATACTGGACAAATGATGAAAATATCGATACGGTTTATGGCCCCAAATATGATCCAGTAACATCGAAATGGTCCCTCAACGGAAAAGAAATGAATTTCCATCGAAGAACTGGAGATATACTTCTTGATGGCTTTCGATTCCGTGGCACCCCAGGCCTCTATCAATTACTCTTCTATAATGATCCATCCTTTGCCAAAGATGATACGAACCCATACAAGCAAATACTCTTGCTCACCAAAGCTCATCTGAATTCTGCAGGACGTATGAAGTCTTCCTCTAGACTCAAATACGTAGAAATTATTCGTCCAATGTTCAGATCCAATTCCAGTGGTCGTGGTTTGAAGTTGACATACAACACAGCCCCTATCGAATACATGTATTGGGATGATCCAAACGAATTGGTAGATAGATTGAAGTTGCTCATTGCATCACAGCAAGCCGGAAATACATCAAACGATAACGAGATTTTTGCCATCTTGAATGAATTAGAAGAGGCAGGCATAATAAAACATGTGTGACATTTCTGTGATACTTCCGTAACACTTCCATGACAACTTCCATGACAGTTCCGTGACACTTCCTTGACACTTTCGTGACAGTTCCGTGACAGTTCCGTGACACTTCCTTGACACTTCCGTGAACTTCCGTTACACTTCCTTGACACTTCTGTGACACTTTCATGGCATGTCTATGAGTGGAGGGGCTAATAATTGGCGATGCAAAGTGCCGACCATTATCGATAACGTACAATACTTTAGTCATTAGCATAATGAGTCTCGACAAATTCGGACGTGGCTCGTTTCCACGCTCAGCTCAGATGGTGACAGTCAGATCTGGATTTTCACATACTCCAACCGGTGATATTGATGTTGGTCATTTGAAGATGTGTAACGTAAAACTGCCAACAGATGCCGCTGATGTTGCAAACAAACAATATGTGGATGAAGTTATATCGCAAATAAAGTTAGATTTCAAGATTGCTCTCGATAATTACGGTGAAAAAATCCGAAATTACCTTGCTGGCTTCAGCAACGAAATAATCGAAGAAAGGAAGAGAGTGGATGTACATGATCTGAAACTGGCAGCGTTC